TCTAAGATGACCCTGCAAAAATGAGATTCTATACATGGAAAAATATAAATATATAACAAATGCATAGGTGTCCATGTACAGAATCTAATGGGGGGGGGATCCTAAAATTTAAGGTAGTTTTGGATTTAAGCAAATACAATAATTTCTTATGCTTTTGCCTTCTCCTGCCAAAGTATTGTTCAGCACTATGAACAAATACTCCTCAAATTCATTCTAGTAGTATCAAGAACTCAAAGGCCATTCAGAAGGAGAAAGAGCAAAAATGTTTAGCATCATAAAAAAGAACATTAAAAAAAAAACTTGCAAAATTTACCCCAGAGCAAACACCCATAGTCACATTCAGGCCTTCACAAAACAGGCAGCCTGTAGAGGCCTTTCCATATTTGCTGCTTAATATTCCAAAGAGAAACAGTGCCAAAACAGGAGTCAGGCAGGGGTTTCCAATAAAGAGCTGCCCTACTTCTTGCAAGGCTGTACTTTAGAAACTGCTTTGATGGAACAGGGAAAAAATAATTTTTCAAAGTCTACTACACTGATCTCAGCTTATTCAGAAAGCCACATCTTACCTACTATTTGCCCCCCAAACTAATGTTAACTCAAAATTGTGTACTAGAAATAATGATCATCAATATTCCAAATAAAAACAAAGAATCACCTTTCTTTTCTGTACAGCCTTGCTGCATCTTTGACCTCCCTGAAGACATGATCTACTTGACGGGTCAACATGTCATGCTTTAAGCGTTCTAGGAGGTTAATCATATCATCAAAGACAGAGCTCTCCATAGAAGCCAGCTGCCCTAGCTGTAGCTTACTAAGTGCATTACTATCTGCACACACCTCCAGAGCTGCTTGTTGAAGCTGCAAGAAAAACTACAAAAACAAAGAAAGAAAGATTTAAATACCTCTAAGCAGATGACAACCTTTTTTTGATACTTTAATACATGTAGGTCCAGTGATAACACAACTCCTTAAGACAGCATCATAGCACAGGTGGAGAAGGGGACACATCAGGCCCAGCTGCACGCAGATGATACCACCATCACAGGTTGGTTCCAGCTTGCAGGCTGTACGTTGCACACCCCTTGTCTACATAGCTAATATTCTGCATGCTAAACTGTGAATGTTACAATTTCTAGTGACTCATTAAGCATTTACGTCACGGGAGACTACTACTGAAACTGCATACTGAAACTGCATACAGGCTTCCCTCGCTTTATGCTGTACATGCGTTCTTGGAAAATGGTGCATAACTCGAATTTGCATTTGTTACTTTACAATGTAACAAATAGGGATATGTTCCAAGACCTCAACTGTACTGAATCCCAGACCCATTTCTACCACTTTTACAAGACAATTTTGGTACTCACCAACAGCAGACCGTACACAAGCACAGGGCGCTATCATAATGGGAATGGAAACTACAAAAACACGTCACAGACAACAAGTGAGGAGCAGAGATCCACACAGGAGACTGTTTTGGTGCATATCACTCCCACAAAGCACCGCTTAATGCAGCTGACTGCGGGCTTCCACCACACTGATCACATGAGAGTGAATTTACCTCACATATAATGAATTTTGGGTATAAAAAGCGCCATCGCATAAAAGTGAATTCACACATACAGAACCCACATAAAACGAGGGAAACCTATATTGAAATCTACAGAAACCAGCCCCAATTCTGCCTCAGGGCTTACTAGTGCAAACCCATGTGCCCATATAGTCTAAGTGATATGCATGGAGCTCTGCACAGTCTGCACTGGCTCATTAAACCATGAAGGCAGATTAACCCATAAATGTACCAGCTTTGCTATAACCTGGAAGTATATGATGCTACACTTCAGAGAATTAGTTTGGGAGTGTTGCTTCCTGGCCTGACTTGCAAAGAAAACTGATTAAATTTTAGCAGGATCCACATTTGTAGCAATGGTTAGGTGTTTGCAGGTTTTGTTCTTTTATTTTTTTAATACATAGTTGAGCTGTATATTCAAGGAACAACTGACCTATCACATATATACTGCCCACTTCTTCGATCTAAGTATCCTTAGCAGATCTATTTTCTGTAGGATAGAATCCATACAACAAAACAACCACATTGCACAACTAATTTTCTGAAGACCCCTCAGCTTTAGGCTTTCCAATATATTGTGGTAAACTGTGGCATTTAAGCACTGTTTAGACTCTGGCAAGAAACTTGAACATCTGTTATTAAATCTGAATCTAGTTCTATTTTTGTCATGACTGATTCTGTATCTTAAAATATTCAGATGAAGTGTTTTTTATTTCCAGCACCACTAATTATGCAGCACACGACAGAGCTAGTTCATTTCTTTATATAACAATAATACTTACAACATTGTCAGCCCAGTCTGATAATACTGTTGCTATGTAGTTAACAGCATTAAGAATTGCACAGTATCGGAAGCCTAAGGAAGCTCTAGTCTCTTCCTTCATAACTTGAGTCAATCGTATCCTGAAATCATCAACTAAGTCTTTTTGTAACTCCAAGAACTGCAGTTTTCTAGAAGCTGTAGGAAGGTTCTTATACCTGTCTGGAGAGAGGATTGTAAGAAGTTTTGATTTTCCAAAGCAAATTAAACTTTTGAAAGATAAAGATTTGCAGTTGAATTATTACCATAACCCCCATTCCTGCAGATTTATACACATACTGACACACTACATACTTCCACTGAAATCAAGGGAACCACTTACCATGTGTCAAGTTAAACACGTATAAGGTTTTGCAGGATTAGGGCCTACATGTATGAATCTCACTAAAACAAAATAAGATCAAATTTCAAAACAGCCTAGGAACACTGTGTGGACTCCCAACATCTCCGCAAAAGATAAGGTAGACAGAAGTTTAGTATGCAAAAAGAAGTCACCATACTGTTAATCTGCTTTAATGCCACATTATGGAACAGGTAAAATTACATTATAGCAGCTAAGTGTGCAGGAATTCAGAACTGATTTCCTGAAAACAAACAGGATTTTTTTTTTTTTATAATGAATTCTAATAAATACATTGGATTTTTATTTTTTTATCTTCTTTCAAATTTTAAGGAATATTTCTAGTTATGAATAAAAAATATATTTCTTTATAAACATTAGCACTTCAAAAGTGTACCAATTTTTGCCAAATATGAAGGCCTGATCTCTCACACTTGCATTATTCATAAAGTTCAAAACAAAATTATCAAAAATTTATTTCTTTGTTAAAATGCAAACACCACAACATTTCTAACTTGTTATTCCTTTGATGAATCCCAAACCACCAACACTTAATGTAGATTTCCTTGTTAAGTTGGAGCTCTTGAATTATTCAGAATTCATTTTAAGTAGCAAGTTAAATATCTCAAATTATATAATTACCTGTGATAACAAATAACAGTGTCATAAAAGTTTCTGCACAGCCTGGGACTTTCATTTCATCTACATCACTGATGTCTTTATACTGTGATATCCAGGCAGTCTCAGAGGAAAGCATGGAGTCCATTTTTTGAAGAGCAACTGACAGGCAAAGGAAACATTAAATAATTTAAAGTTTAGATGTTACTTGCAGTTGCTTTAGAGTTTACAAATTTATCATCTCTTCTAACAATTCAGTCAATTGCAGCTTTTAATAAAAACGTAAAAGGAATCCTAAATGTTATGACTTACTAAAAGTATCACTCAGATTTAAATACAATAATATCTGCAACTCAAATACAAAAAACTCATGCCCACTTCTGCTGTTATTATTCTTTAACATTTTTATAGCATTTAAAAAGCCACTATTATTCCTACTATTAACCTGGCTTGAATATTTACCCTGTTCCTACTATCCTGATGATTAGCCTTGCTAGTCTGAGTGTAAAGCACTTTGTTGTCCTGCACTCAAAAACTAAAACCTTGCCATATATAGGAACAGACATTGGGTATTGTACTTAGATGAAAACATTTTCCAAACCACTACTTCTACCCATCACACTGTACCTTACTACCCAAATATATTATTTAATGTCATCCCTTTCCTGTCAGATTTGCCAAATGGCATTAAACATTATATAAAGTTACTACAAAAAAACTGCTTGCCCAGCAAAACTCTGATTAATATTCTTGAAAGCCAAATACATTCACTGCACTCTATTCAGCCAGGTTATTTGCTTTTTTTAATTCTTTCAGTTCCTGCCTTCATACTGCTTTTTTTCTACAACAGCTTGTAGTGTGTGTTGTTCTGTACATGTTCTTTATTTGCACCCTATGTTTTCACTATTTCATTATTCCTTTCCTCGCCCCAAAACTAATCCCCCCTCTTTTTTCTCTTTACCATATTTTTTTTTTTTTTTGGGGGGGGGGGGGGGGGGGGGTGTTTCTTTTTATTTTTTTGGGGGGGGGGGGGGGTGGTTCTGTCTTATCCTATAAATTTAAAGGCCCACTGACACTCGCACTTAAAATGGGAACTTTACCAGAGGAATAAAATTACTAAATCCCATGGAACTACAGGTTGTGGTAGAATCACTAAATATTGCTTTAATATTAATCAACAGCCCTACAGTATAAAAATTAGGGGTCTGATGTAATATCCCCCAGGCATGCAAGTTAACCAACCTCACTGGGACTGAGTAAGCATTGCACAATTAGGCCTTCTGCCTTATTTAAAATAATCATAAAAAAGTCTTACATTTCCTTTCCACAGTTAACCACCTCTGAAAGCAGGTTTCTTCCGACAAAATATGCATACAGCTGGGAAAGGTGCTGAGGTATCCATGAACAGTGTACAGCTCTCTCTCAAACAGAAGCACTTCATCCACAAGATGACATAACAGGTTATCATCATACAATAGGCAAGGAATATCAGTAGCCAGCTTCTCCAAAATTAGCATTACTAGAGCACGGGAGAATTCAAGCTTTTACAAGAAAAAAAATAAGAAAAAGTCAAAGTATTGAAATGTCAGTATTTATGTAGTTTTAAAACGTCTTTCGGGAGGTCAGTTCAAGCTAATTATAAACCCACTGAAATCAATTCAACTTGCTAACACCATAGCTAGAATATGGCCATGTAAAACTGAACATATTTTCTTACCCTTGCATTCACTGAATAGCCTGCCTTGTCCAATATTGGCTGGATTTTTTCATCAAGAAACTTAGTGTGATTTCCAATCCACATGAGGACCTGGGTTAGGTACCATTCAGGCTTCAACGTAAAAAGAAGTGTCAGAACATTAACATTAACCCTATCCAGATAACATTTATTCAACTGATACAGGAATGGGAATACAAATTTCACTTGTATTATCTACTGCAAACTACAAGCAAAAAGAAACATAAAAATATGATTCAAATAACTAGTTAGAAAATGTACCTTTAGTATTGTTTATAAAAAATGTCACAAATATTTCAAAAATAACTAACTAACTAACAGAAGCCATAATAGACTTGTAAAACTACCCAATGTTTTCAACTCTTTAAAATATTGCATCCAGAATATAAGAGCAATCAGAATATGCAAAACAGTAAGGGAGGTCCAGGGAAGACAGTTAAAGATTGCCAATTTATATATAAATATAAGAATTTTGAATTGTTTTCCGACCACAAAACTGTACTTAAAATGGTTCAGGAGAGAGGGTTATATTGTTTAGTGTGGGGGCAGAGGGGAGATGGTGGTCGTGAATGAGATACAGAAGTGTATGCTTATGCCAAAACTATTGACTTGTCTACTCCAGGGAGTAAACAAATCCTCTTTTGTTTTTTAAAGCACAGATCATCCTTTCCCACTGCAAATATTGCAAGCATTTACATGAAATTATTTATGTACCTGTAGCTGTTTTAATGAAAAATGTTGTCCTTTGCTTAAAAATGACATGGGGAACACACTACCTAGTTTTGCCCTTCACTTTATCTCCCCTTTCCATTTTTCACTCTGCTGCATCTGCTTCCATGTCACTGGATTCCTCTCTCCCTTGTACAGGCTTCCTGACTGCACCATATACTCTTTTCCAGGAGACAGAAGAAAATACCAGGCTGAAAGGAGAGCTGGCAGAAATACCAGTTGTCTCATCTTTTACATAGCATTCAATGATACTGGAAACAGATGGCCTGGAAGCACTCCCAGATACTTCATTTTGTTTCTTTACAATTAAAAGCTTGCAGAAATAATTTGAGAACAAAGGTGGGAAAGCAATCACTATGGGTGCCTATACATGAGCAGGGAAGCTGCTCCTATGCACTGTAACTCCAGTACGTGGGAGCAGACTCAATTAATTAAGTCTTCTGGAGTGTGGCAATTACTGTGCTCCAGCAGCCTCCCACGTCTCGTGTATCAGCATTCCTGGGCTTCAAAATGGTGGCAGGGGCACCTTATCTGAAGCTCATTCAACAAGCTTCAGATAAAGCACCACCACCACCATTTTGAAGTGCAGGGACTCTGAGACACGAGATGCTCCGGGTGCTTTAATTAGACTG